GGGTCCGGGCTGGGGATTCGAACCCCCCACCTTAGGTGTACGTGGCTGGCGCCTTAGCCGGTTGAGCTATAGGCGCCGAGCCTGCTATTTTGAATGACAATTTCCTATTTGATTTCACTGGTTCCATAGAGATTGTGCCTTATGATGGTATTGCTTTTTTTGTAGACCCAAGTGGGACGTTTTGCCCCTCAGTTTTCTGGCTACCAGCAACAAGATTCTCAGGAGCTATTAGCCTTTCTTTTAGATGGATTGCATGAAGATCTGAACCGAGTAAAGAAAAAGCCCTACCTAGAGCTGAAGGATGCCAATGGGCGGCCTGATGCGGTATGATATTGAAGATGTCTGAACGATAATATTCCAAAGAAGCTGCCTCCTATTGAGAGTGTAAAAACATCCTTTTGGTTTTTGAGTTATTAGTGCCAGGGACGTGGCTGCCTCTCAGTGTTGGTAGTGATGGGACCCTCATCTCTGGTAGAGAAACACATTCCAGGTCAGAAAGGGGGGCTAACTATAGTTACTCTTGATGCTCCCTCTTGGGTTTTATCCAAATTAGAGTCACCTTGTTTAGTATTTCATTGGTGACCTAGAGATTAGGGTGCTCTAAAGACTAAAGTGCCTATTCATAGTAACATTGGCCCTTAGGATTGGAACTATTCTCATTAAAATCCATCCATGATGGTGGTACCTATGGCTCATAGGAGTAGGGCACCGGCCCCGTATACTACAGGTGGTGGGTTCAAACCTGTCCCTGGCCAAACACTGCAAAAAAAAAAAAAAATCCATCCATGAGGCTTGGTGTGGTGGCTTCAAGTTATTGTAGAAGGGAGGATCCCTTAAGCTCTAGAGTTCAAGACCCTGTCTCTACTGAAAACAGAAGAAATTAGCTAGGCCTATGGGAGATAATCTACAGTCCCAGCTGCTTTGGGAGGCTGAAGCAGGAAGATGAGGTTGCTGTGAGCTAGGCTGATGCCATAGCCTAGGCAACAAAGTGAGACTATATAACAAAAAAATCCATTAATGATTACAGTAATTTGTTACTAATATTATTAAGGCATTTACACTTTTGGAATGATCAATATGAGTCCTTTAGAGTAGCATTCATTTGGCTTGGCGCCCGTAACTCAGTGGTTAGGATGCTGGCCACATACACTGGGGCTGCAGGTTTGAACCTGGCCCGGGCCTGCTAAACAACAATGATAACTACAACAAAAGAATAGTGGGCATTGTGGTGGGCACCTGTAGTCCCAGCTACTTGGGAGGCTGAGGCAAGAGAATTGCTTATGCCCAAGAGTTTGAGGTTGCTGTGAGCTGTGACCTAAGGCAACATAGTGAGACTCTGTCTCAAAAAAAGTAGCATTCATTTTTATTTATTTATTTATTTATTTACTTCTTACTATTATTATTATTATTTTTTTTTCTTTCAGTTTTTGACCAGGGCCGGGTTTGAACCCACCACCTCTGGGTATATGGGGCCCGCGCCTTACTCAGTGAGCCACAGGCACCGCCCTTTTTAATTTTTATTTATTTATTTATTTATTTTTGAGATGGAGCCTCAAGCTATCCCCCTGGGTAGAGT